GGGAGGGGATTCTCCCCCTCTTTTCCACTGTGGTGAAACCTCACTGGGAGTTCTGCATCCAGCTCTGCGGCTTCCAACATAAGAAGGATGTGGACCTGTTGGAGCGAGTCCAGAGGGGGCCACAAAGATGCTCCGAGGGCTGGAGCCCCTCTGCTATGGGGACAGGCTGAGAGAGTTGGGCTTGTTCAGCCTGGAGAAGGGAAGGCTCTGGGGAGACCTTATAGCACCTTCCAGTGCCTGAAGGGGCTACAAGGAAGCTGGGGGGGGCTATGGGGGACTTTTTACAGGGGCCTGTAGTGACAGGAGAAGGGGTAACAGTGTTTCGTATCCTGAAGGCCATTTTCTGGCACTGAGGATGTGCTGAGAGAGACCTCTTTAGCTCAGACACCGATGCAAGATGCCAGACCTTCGGCAAAACCAGATGGTGTCCTGAGTTTCTGTTTGGTGTGCTCCTGGTCCTCTGGGCTGAAGGGCTAGTGCTCACTCCTGCCACTTGCACTTTTCTGAGAGATCTACTCAGAGCAAGACAGAACAGAGGTATCACCATCGTGGCGGTATCCCTCTGGCACCTCAGTGCAGAGTCTAAACTTTGCCTTGCAATATGCATGTAGAGAACATTTTAGGACAGATCATCAGCCCAGCTGTGCACACTTCATGCCATGGGATGAATATTTGGTGGCTCTCCTTGCTCAAGTAGGTCTGCTCTTTATTATCCAAATAAGAAGTAGGCTCTTGAAATGCGTGGTGGTAATAATCTCACCATTCTGAACTTACATCAGGAGCTGGAGAAAGAAATTCCGTATGATGGGAATGAAATCCTGGCTCAGGCAAAAGTAACATTAAATCTGTTGCAGTCCTCAGCGAGCACCATCTTCAATAGGTGTTACCATTTAGCAGGGGGTCCCTTCTGCTTCCCCCTTTTCCAAACGGACTGCATTTTGGTGGGCCTGTATTCATGCTGCTGCGCCTGGTGACACAAATACGTGTAGGGCTCGTAGCAGCGTTCTGCATGCTCGGGATGGTGAAGTTGTATATTTTTGGATAGATAAATCATCACATCCTAGTTAGAACTGAGTCTAGCCGTGACATTCTGACTATGCTTTCTCTAACCTCTGCAGAGGGAAAGTAATATAAGCTGAATTTAAATGGATCTCTGGTTTTGTGTGATATGATATACAAGACAACTGCTTTAAATGCTTAATTTTTGTTAATAGCAGACATGGATAGTATTTTGAAAGCTCTCTGTTATTTGCTTGCTGAATATGTGTCTGAAGGGATCATAATAAAAATCCTGTAAGGTGGCAGAAGTCCACCTTGGAGGGGGAGAAATAGAAAATGTCTGTGTTCTCAAGGAAAAGCTTATTAATGTCAAACCTTGAACTGCAGCCTCACGCAACCCAATTATAGTTTAGAAACTGAAACCGAACACAAAGCCCAGGCTGTTGAGGGTAAGAGCCTCTTGCTGAACAAGTTAGATCTACATTTCTCCCTGATGAATGAGAAACACACAATTCATGTTTCTTTCTATGATTACAGAAATCCAGAGCAAGCGTCAGGAAAGGAAGAGAAGAAGCACCGCAAATCCAGCTTACAGTGGACTCTTGGAAACAGAGGTACTTTATCATTAACTTTTTTAACCACAGCTCTATTTCGTGTCAATAAAAGGTTTAAGTGCTTCTTATTACAAAAGTATGTATAAATGCAGAACCACGCATTTACTTGTAAAGAGACACTGATGTGGAAAAGAAAGAAAAGATCTCGTCTCAGTAGCTAAGTAACAGGTTTTCACCCCACCACGTTGCTTCAAACTGGAATTTGTCTTAGTTTTAATAAAGGCCAAAAGGACTGAAGTAACGTGGGACCTAATTACTTTTTCACCCACGCAGGCAGCCCCTCTAGGTCAGAACTGAGGAAGAGCTGCATTATGTTCAGACTTGCGTTGCTATTTCTCGTTTCCTGTGTGCCAAATAATAAATGGAGAACTTTGCTTTTTTTATTAGTGACATTCATAAAAGGGATGTGTTGCTTTAAGAATCAGTATGCTCTGCAGGGGGTGTGGATGCCCGCATAATAAATATAATAATGCATAATTAAAAATAAAATGCTCTGGATAATCTCTGTTGTCTGTTGCACTTACAGTGCTACACTTATGGTAGCAGCAAAATTTGGTCCTACATAATATTCGATCGCAAACCTGGTGTAAAAGCAACATATAAATAGACTTAACTTTTTTTTTTCTTTGTTTCTGAACTGGAATATATGCATTTATTCGGCATAATAACATTCCACTTTTAAAATTTCCTCACAGTTTGGGGTTACTATTTGAACTTCCTACAGCAATGAAACTGATTGGCAGCCAGCTCTCGATTTAAGCAAGATTTCTCTGTGTTCTGCATTCTTCAAGCCTAAAGAAAATGACTTTTCTTAATTTAGGTACAAGCGGTGCAGAAATTTTGGTATGCCAGCATTTCAGATTTCTGTATTTGTTGGCAGACAGCACACACTAAGAAGAAACCCACCATGGTAGTCAGGCTGCCTCATGGCTTGATCATTCTTTTTGAAAGTACTGAAGATTTTTATACTTCAGAGCACTTGAATTTTATACTCTGGCCACTTGAATCTTTCAGAACTACTCGACTTTTCTCTAGCAACCTCATCAGAGCAAACACTGATGTCCATATGTCCGGTATTTAACACCACAGGAACCTTAACCTTGCCAGCGTTAAATCTGTAGTGCCTTTTCTCAGGTCTTTTTGTCCTGATGAGTTTGTTAAAATACTTGCAGCAGAGTTTTGTGGCTCTAGTCTCTGAGTCGGTGTTTGTGAGAAGCTCCATTATCTTGGAGCAGGAATTCCGGAGGTGATGGAGGAGCTCTGCTGCACCCCTAGTTCAGACTTGTCATTATAGCTATTCGCAAAAGCATGTCCTGAAGTGAAGGATGGCATGGAGAAAGAAATGTCTGTGAAGGTCCTGTGGCTGATCAGCTGTGTCCTCATTAGCAGCTGTCATTAAGCACTGACCATGGGGAATGCTGTTCAAGTGAAATGGAGGCAGATGGTTTTTCACTGATCAATTAGCTGCTCAGATTGATTTGCTAATCAGCAAGTTGAGATATTTTGTGACATTTCAGGCATTTTGGTGAAGTTTAATTTACAGTTAGTCTACCCAATGATCTTTAATTCATGATTGTTTAAATTGAAATTGCATATAAATTAGACCTTTTATTTGCCAACACCCCTCGAAACGGCAGGAGCTCAACGTCTGTGGTGGTGATGCTAACTTCCTTGATTACAGAAATGTGATCACAGTCCTATGTCTTCACTTGAGTGTTGTACTTTCTCTTTCTAAAGCTGGTTTCTATTAAAAAAAAATCGAGGTACCATTCTATTTTCCCACCCTCTATAGCTGGTTTTTTTCTTTATTTTTTTGCACATAGGAAAGAGTTAAGTTTCAGGCTGGGTATTTTTTGAAGGAAGAAATATCAATTCAGAATTCATTAACAGACTGGCAGGCACCCGTGTATAAGAGAGCAGGTTGCTGTCCGCAGAATAAGTCATTTATTAGCAAAACCCCTCTAATTTTCCTCCAAGCAGAGTCTAACAATATCTAATGGAGGAAAAGGGTAGTGTTTCCAGTCCTGCTGTACAAGTCTTGGATGGCTCAGAAAAACAATTAGGGGTTATATAGACTGTTAATGACGCCTGGCTTGCTACTGACCAACAGCTTTTACCACCTGACAGGTCGGCGATGGGCTGCGTTAAATTAGTGACACATCTCAGTCAGGTTTCCTGTGTTTGCACGCTTGAAAATCTTTGGTGACCTCAGTGGATTGAAATCACTGCTCACTCCTAGAGGTCGTGCACAGTAAATTCTGAAAGAGAAATATTTGGCTGAGGCCCTAATACGTAGTTTGCAAGTGAAATAGGTTCCTAAGAGCTGTAGGCAGGTGTCACAGAAGGCAGTGATGCTTCTCTGCAGGTGGGATGTCCATCACCTTTTCTATATATGCAAATAAAGATGTCATCCCACAGCAACAATTTATTACACAGTTTTTCCTTCATGGATGTTGTTTGTCTGCTGTGTTTGGAGCTGGTGTTGCCTTGTTCTTAGCAACCTCTGGAACATAACCTGGAACTCCATTTGCAATTTGCACTTCTCTCTTGTTCATAAAATTCGACGCATATCAAACTGCTCTAATGAAGAATCGTTAGAAAGGTAAATAATGCAACTGTCTCAGAGCTTAGCAACGAATATTGTAAGTCATCGAACTGGCTTCTGGATAGCTAGTTATGTATGAGGGAAGCTCATGGAGATTGTTAATATTAAATGGTAAGCGACAACCAGAGCAATTTTTGATGACACTGTGGTTGGTTTCTTTTCCCTTGTAGCGGAAACGCCTTGCATCAAATTATTTGAATAACCCCTTGTTCCTTTCAACAAGAGGTAAGCGTATCTTTAAACGAATGTACTACTATTCTAATGACATGTCAAATATTTATTAGTAGGATTTCATATAAATTACTGCTCGGGTACCAAAGGGCATTACTTTCTGTAAGGTCCCTGCACTTTTTAGCGTGCAGTGAAACTAGATGGTTCTCCTCCAAAAGCAATTGAAGTTTAAGGCTAAAGGTCAAAACTGGAGAAACAGATCTAAAGTCTCTGCGAGCAATGGAAAAATCCGATCTCTGGTATTGTAAGCACCATGCAGTGAGAGGACTGATTGAAGAAGGCAGAGGTGACCACCTCAAGTGCTTACAAATATATATTGAAAAATTGGGACTTTAAAAAAATTATTATTGTGGGCTTTTCATTTGCTTCTTTTCATCAGCTTTAAGAAACTGCTGTTCACCCTCCAAGGCTAGAGATTTACCATACCTTTTGCTTTAAAAACAATGGCTGTAAAACCACACAATTCTCCTGACTCCAGGAGGTGGAACCATAAATCTAGATTTGATGGCATTGAAAATGCCTTCCAATCCTGTGTTTATAAGAACTTCAGATGCTGAAAATTTCATGTCAAAAGCCTTGAAAAAGAACAACTCAGAGGAGCCATGTGGGGATGATGATGATTAGCTTGTGTGAAGCAGCTCATTCCAGGAAAAACGTGCAACATACAGAGAAGGCAGAGTTCAGAGGTAGGAGATGAAACAAGGAGAACACTGAGTACAGTTTAATGCTTCAGATGAGGCCTATGTAGGATTTTACAAGAGAAAGGAAGACGTTTGAGTTGCATTTCAGAAGAGGAGGGGAAGCCAGTAAAGGAAGGTGATTATGTTCGTGCCCTCGTGTTGACTTTACAAATTTGGCAGTGCATTAGAGGCAAAGGAAGACAGGCCTTTTTTTAAGCCAAGTAATATTTCAGTAATAGGAGCATTTACAGGGGAGATTTCAATTAAGACATGAAGATTTTATAGTTTTTCAGTGTTTGCCTGATATCTCTGTCAAGCATCATGTCTAGTGCTTGAGATTCACCTTTCTGGCCCTGCCTTGAATTCCTGCACCGCAGGATTACCCACAAAATGCAGCAGTGCTTTGTTCTGCCTTCAAAACGTCATATGCTAGATGCCTACAATTGGCCCACTTACCTTACGCCTCCAATGCCCAGGGTCTCAGAGGGCAAGAGGTTATTACATGGTAAACAGCTATGATGACATGCCTCTTAGCAGGAGCCCATGCTCATGTGAGCCCCGGTGGAAAGGACGTTATTCCTGGCTTAGTTTTAGCTTCAAAATTAAAATTATAATTTATTATTTGTCTCATCATAGCACTTGTTTTTCCCCATGTACACACATGGGAAAACTGGAGAGACTGGCAGTGTTAGCAAGCTGTGCTGTTAGCCCTTCGGTGGATTTCGTTTAAGTTAGGGTTTGACACCTCTGACCTTCTTTCTGCTGTGTCCTTGCAAGGAAGTAGGCAAGTGACAGTGATGTGGCTGTCTCAGAGCTGCTTGGAAATCAGCACTCTCCCTCCTTAATTGTTAATTCCTCTTTGAGTCCTGTACCTTTGATTTTTGCGAGCATCCAGAATCTGTGCTGGGATTCTGCAGATTCTGGTAATTTTAAGCTGGATTTTTTTTTATAGCAGACCTCCCTATCTCTGTAGGAGTTTATTAGCTCCGTGCACCAGGCTCCTGTGCTAGATGCTGGGCAAGCTCTGAACTGAAGGCAGGCTGTCCCAGGCAGCTTGGCACTGCAGTGATGGAGTTGTCCACCTTCAGCGTGGAGCTGACTGCCCCTTCTCTTACAAAACACTCATTTAAAAGAATAGTCTTCAGCTTAGTTTTTCAACAACTGGAATGTGGAAGTGGACATATTTTAAAATGCTTAAAATTTTATAGTAAAAATGAGCTGAAAAGAGAAAAAAGCGATCTTTAAAAATCCCTATCAGGTACAGAAAACAACTGTCATTTCCAGAAATGCAGAAGAGAGCGTGTCTTGCACATTTTCAGTAAAATGCCAATTAATCAGGATTCATTTATCTGAAAATGTCTTACCTGAAATGAGGTCACATCCCCTGACGTGTATCATTTGTAGAAAAGACTCTTCAATTATCAAGCCCCTGTTTATCCGGGTAACATTTATATCCCCCTGAGTAATGGCGGTGTCATACGACGGTGGATCTCTGTGTGTGTACTTGTGGGTATGAAGTGACATCTACAGATTTTATAAGTCTGTGATTATTTATGGAACTCATCGCTGAAGGATGACACAGTTGTTGGAAAATGCAGGCAAATTTACGGAAGAAAAATCTAAGGATGTTAAATATCAAACCGAAGATGCGAACTCCAGGTTAGGGAAGCCCATAAGCTGCTGGCGTCTGGAAGGATGCTTCTGGAGCAGAAAAAAGGACTCTGTGCTTGCCCTGTTCTTGCACTCGGTGTGTGAGTGGTAGCGCTGGATGCTCATAGCAACGGACCCTGGCCTTATAGCCTTTGATGTAACCTACGTGAAGCTGTTCCATCATTGTTGTGTTCCTCTTCTTACACGTGTGTGTGGTGTGAATGTGCCTGCATCCTCACATGTATGCATATATCAGTGTATAAAACGAATGTGTAACAGCAGGACACAGCTCCCAGGTTGGTCTGTATAGGACAGATCATACCATGGCAGCTATATTCCCATTTACGATCCAAGAGAGAGCTGAAGAAGGACAGAAATATCGGTTTGGTGGTCTCCACCTTAACCCAAAGAAAGGCCTCACCATCAGCTGTTTGTCACTGGGACAGTGTGCACCCGCTTCTTACCAATCAGCAGCAAAAATTACAACCCACTGTGTGGTTTCCTTAAAGCTGTTAAAATTTTCTGGCTCCTTATTTTTGGACCAAAGCGTGTCACAAGTATTGTTATGAAAGGCTTGGCCTGCTTTCCAGTGAGCTCTGGTGGTTCTTGTTCTTATCAGGCTCTGAATGCAATCACTACAGACTTGGTTCATCAGAAGATCAGAAAATCTTGGTCGTGTGGGTGGGAGTAGTTTGATGATACAGAGATGATGATAACATAAACCTCAGTCACACAAGTAGCTGACCGTTTTGGCCATGAATCAGCTGAGTATTTAAACATATGTTTAAAGTCAGTGGTACCACTTTCATACTCCAAGCTAAGCGCCTGCTTAAGTGCCTTGCTGGTTCATGGCCAGGCTGTTCATCACCCAGCTGGCTAAAGTCCTCAAGAAAGACTTTGGGACTAGCAACACGCAGAGAGGTCTGCATGAAAATTTTTGAAAATTTGCAATAGCGTCTGTGCTTTTCATGCTATGACTTTTTAGTGTCACATCTTCAGACACAGGGTTCCTGCAATGTAAATTTTTAAATCTCAGATGCTAATTCTGCTGCTTGCTGTTGCATTCTTCCCTGCCCATGTGAATTGTGGCAGTGTCCTTCCTTCCTTTAGCTTGACTAAAATTACTTTCGTAGCTGAGAACTAGCATTCACTGCAGCGATGTGTTTCCCACTAATCTGTTCTCTGCCCTTCTTTCATATGCTAGCAAATGAGGATCCATTCTGGAAGGTATGTGCAGCAGAATTTGTGTATTAACAGTGTCTTTCTTGTCACCGTGTAATTCAGTGCTTGCTTCTGGTTATTGTAGTCTCTATCGAGGTACAAAACTGCAGTGTTCTCTTTGCCTTTCATGCGCTTGTGTGGAATATTTTCCACTTAACTAAATCTTTGGACCTCTAAGTTAGGATTTAAAGAGATGAACTCTTGGGCTTTCATAAACAAGGCTTAAGTTTAATCCCTTTGTAGAATCCACTGACTGAGAACTTGCTAGTCCAGATTTGTGGTTTTAATGACAATTTTAAGAAAAATGAGTAACCATTCTGGTTTGTATAGATTAAATCTCTTTACGCTGAGGTTAAAATTAAGATGTTTTGAGCAGGTGATTTCTGAAGAGTAATATTTCAGACAGCGATTTATTTTGACAGGACTGTGTTAGAATTCAAGTTATAAGCCTGACTAAAGATGTCATGAAACATTATAATTAATATCCCTAAAAATGAAAATACGCTTTTGGAATTAACAAAGGTGCAAAATTATTATTCTCCTTCCTGGAAAAGCCCTAAGAAAATTTAGCTTTTTTTAAATGATTCACACACCATGAGAGTTTCAAAATCAGTATCTCCTTTATTAAAATGCACTTAATTATACAAAGAGTAATTAACGTTGCCACCAAATTAGCATAGCAATTTACTACATGACATTGTAACTTTGTTGATGAGTCTTAGTTCATTTTATATTACTTCAGACAAAGTACTAATCAGTCTTGTTGGAGAAAGGTTGTCAGAGCAGGTCTGAACAGAGAACAATTAGTGCCGGGGAGAACAGAGGGACAGAGGAGGCCTCTAGGGGCGTTCACAAAAGAGGGTACATCGCAAAAGGTTGTACTTGAGCATTCTGTTTCCCTAGCAGCTCTTCGAGGCAACGCTCATAAAACATGGAACTGTGCTTTTTCCCCAAAAGCTTTTCCTCTCTTGCTTCCTTCTGCTTTGAACTTGAAGGACAAGTGATCCACATATTGACTGATCCATGCTTCAAAACAGAGCTGCAAGTTGTGCTGCATGCGGTGGAGCGACACACTCTCAAAGCCAAGTGAAATTCCTACGCCACAAGCTGGCTAGATTAGTTGACTCCCTCCTGTGTTCGATTAGTTGTTTTTTATTTTTCTATCTCTTTCCATTTATGGAACTTGCTTCTGGCTCTTCGTTTGGATTCATGGCTATCACACACCATTATTTCGGTCTTCTACAGTGGCCAGGGTGCTTTTGACAATTAGATTTTGTGTTTGAATGAGCCTGTCTGCTGCAACAGCGGCAGTGAATGCTGTCCAGAGAGAAATTCTTAAGGGCTTGACTTGACCCAAGCTGTCCTTCCCCTTCTCTTCCAGAACGAGATCCACCACGATGAACACTGCACTGCTTGCAAGCGTGGCGTTAACTTGCAGCCCTGTGGAACGTGTCCCAGAGCATATCACCTCAACTGCTTGGACCCACCCCTCAAAACTGCCCCCAAGGGGGTTTGGGTCTGTCCAAAGTGCCAACAGAAGGTAAGCTACATGGAGCGTTGCATGCCAAAAAAAGAAAATGGGAGAAACTTTGGATTTTTGTACCATTGAACTAATCTAACCTATGGTCAAAGCTCAGGGGACCACATTGGCTAAAGTAATACTGAGAGGTTCTGGTATTTTCATTATGCTGGGGTTAAAACATCCACTGAGTGCCTTAGCACATGAGATATGGGGAAGCTAGGTTTGTCCTTTTAAAATGTCTCTTCATTTCCTTTGTTTTCCTTCTTGACAATAAAGTCACCAGCATGTAGGGTTGCCAGACAAGTAATGTAAATCTAGGTGAGGGAGACAGTGTCAGAAGCTGACACTGTTCACCAGTGGATCTGAAAGCTGTGAGAAGAACACCTCCTTTCCTTTAAATCATGTTTATTACACACAGCTATTGATCATAGCCATGTCAGAAGTGCTAATTTGTCTAGTTGCTGCGAATAATGCTGATTGCATGAACAGGAAAACAATTACCTAAACAGCACACTGTCACTAAATCATAGAGTGGAGGCTTAGATTTTGTGCCTTAGAGTTCTTTGTACTCAGAGTGAGATCACTGTTATGTCCCCTTCAAAATGTCAGGGGGAGATTGTAGCGTGCTGTTGCAGAGAGCAGCCCAGGGTTAGGTCTGCGCTGTCGCGTGTTCGTGTGAACCCACAACCTCACCCATGCTCAGTAGTCACCACTCCTGACAGTGTGGAATTCTGCTTGTCTGAAGAATGTCTTCTGGCCACGGCAGCAAGGAACAGAGGATTTGTGACCCCCTTTTAGCACTGGTTGGTAGTGCTGTTTATAGTGATGTGGGAAGGAGTAAGCCCCAGTGGAGACTGCTACTCAAATTATTCTCTCGCTACTTTTCAGCTTGTGAATTCTGAGGCATGGACCCTAGATCTGGTCCTCCAGAGCTGTGAGGCTGGAGGGAGGAAAAGATGAATGTGTGTCTTTGTGCAGTTCTAACTTTATTGTTTCCTGGGCTTATAGGTGTTAAAGAAAGATGACAATGTGCCATGGACTGGAACTCTGGCTATTGTTCACTCCTATGTCACTCATAAAACAGGTAGGGATTAACACAGCTGTTGACAAGGGATTCCCTGCTCGTGACAGGAGATGCTATTTGAGTCTTTCGTGGCACTAATATTAAAGTGGGGTTGTAATGCTGCCAGCTACATTGGCATTATTAAGAAGAGGGATGGGAACAGCAAGTCACTTTCTCTCTCCTTGCACTCGGCCTGCCTCTTCGCCGTCTCATCTCTTTGACGACGCTGAGTTGGCTGCTGTGGAGGAGGCTGACATGAAAGTGGTGCCTTGCTGGGGACAGGGCTGAAAGGAAATTTTGAGGCAGAATCATATGAGGGTTGGAGGCTAGACAGAGCCTTGTAACTGGGTATGCAGCACAATGCCAGGCTAGTGTCTCGGATACATCAGCTGATGTAGGAGCAACATTAGGAACAACATCAGCTCCTAATTGTTTTGCTGTTATTTGCTATCAGATGTGGTATGCTACCTGTGCATTCACCATTACTCTGGTTTAGCTCCCTGTTTCACTCTTAAAATGGGCTGTTTGGGGCGTTTGACTGTGTTTGCAAAGAGCTTTGCAAAGGTCTGGCACTGTTGTGATCTGTGCTTTTCAGCCAGGGTCGCTGAAAACCCTTCCAGGTGGCTGACTTGTTCTTTAATACCATTCACTTCTTTCATGGAGACTTCCAGGACCGCTTGTGGTCCGAGGATGAATTCATCTCAGAGGTGCAGTATAGCTTTAGGGGTGTCCTGTGTGCTAGCCACTGACATATACACATGCGTGTAAGCGGAAACTCCAGATTTATTTGGCTGTGTGTGCTGACAAAAGGCTAATGAGTCCTGAAACTCACCATTCAGAATACATGCTTCTGCTTTGTGTTGTCAAGTGCGGTTTTGCCATATGTCCTTTTCTTAACTTTTGCATCTTATTGTTCTGCAGTCAAAGAAGAAGAGAAGCGAAAGTTATTAAAGAGAAGCAGCGAGCTGAAGAGCGAGCATAGACAGTTAGAAGAAAAAGAGCGACTTCTCAACAACGCAGTGAAGGTAGGACACCTGACTGGGGACACGCAGTCTCCTGCAGAGATGTTTATAAAGAATTTATGCCTGAAAAACTGGTATTTTGTGTCTATAAAATGACTTATGCTCCCAAGCTACAGAAGTTCAAATGTGAGTGTGTTGCTCTCTCTGAGGGAAAACACGTGGATTTCCTTTATGCACAAGAGCAAGCTGCTTTCGCAGTGAAGGTAGGACACCTGACTGGGGACACGCAGTCTCCTGCAGAGATGTTTATAAAGAATTTATGCCTGAAAAACTGGTATTTTGTGTCTATAAAATGACTTATGCTCCCAAGCTACAGAAGTTCAAATGTGAGTGTGTTGCTCTCTCTGAGGGAAAACACGTGGATTTCCTTTATGCACAAGAGCAAGCTGCTTTGGCAGGCTGAGGAGGAAAACTCACCTGAATTCCCGCTGCACCCCACAACCCTTCCCCCAGCTAGCCGTGGCTTTCTTCCTTCTAGTGCCGTACACAAGTCTCATCTGCCCAGTGACTTTGGGTCGCTCACATTCTCCAGCTGAAAAGTTTAGTCCCAAGCATGTCCTCCAGTGGTAGCTGCTTGCTTTTTAGCTTAAAACTCTTGAGGTTAGGTAAAAGTAATCATGTTTATTTGTCTCAGGGGCTGAATGTTGTAACAACCTCCCCATGACTGGAAATGGATTCACAATCGTTTTCTCTGTGAACTCGTTTCAAAGCCAAATGTTGGTTGGAGATGTCTCCTGCACACGCCATGCTATGGGGGCGAGTCTTGGGCAGTAACGAGTGGGCTGAGTCCAAAGCCATAATTCCTGTCCTTCATGGGTGAAGGAACTTATCTGGAGCTACCTCACCACAGGCCCACTCTTTAGGGGTAGCTGGCACAGCAGTCCCAATAAATATTTGAAACTTCCTTGCTCTGGAAAAATCAAAGTGGCAGCTGCAAGAGTAACTGGTCACTAGTTGTTTTACCACTACAGTTATACAGAGGAGGCGTGTTAAAATATTTATCACATTTAAAATAGAGTAGAAGGGAAAGCAATAACTTATTAAAAGACATCACAGTGGGGAATATTCCCTTTAAGTGTGTACAGCCACCATCAACACTAATGGATACACACATATGTATGAAGAAGTGACTCTGGGGTACAGAATATCTTCCGTAGGTAGCAGAGTGCAGTGAAATAAGGTTTTTGGAAAAAGAAAAGCATTTGGGGATGCAGTCAGCTATCAGGTGTGTGTCAGGGCTGTCAAAATCAGTAGGATTTCTACCTAAGCAGAATCAGGTTCTTTGAGTGGGCAACACTGACATTTCACAGGTAATACCGGCTGGGGATTATAGTTATTTGAGATACATCCACTTGAAAGGAGTAAAGCAATTAAAGGTTTTCCAGCACAGAACGATTTTATTTCTGAAATTTGCCTTAGCAGAGATTTACGTTAAAGAGAAAACTCTCATACACACTAAAGGTAGAATGGTATTATTTGAAAAAACAAAATGTGATTTCTCCTTCACCCGAGATTTCACCTGTCTAAACCAACCTCTGACCAGCTCCATGCAGTTGCTTTGCAAACGACTTGATTCTCCAGTGAGCATTTTCCCCTTTCCCAGGAGTGGAGACTACCCCCTGCCCCAGGTAGTCTAGTCCATAGGAGAAGCACCTGG